GCTTCATTCCTGTCTACACCCTCAACACCACCTGTTCTGGAAATTCTAGTTTGAGAAATCTAACCTGGACCAATGTCTGAAAGTTTATGTTGAATAGCTTTTGCCTAGATTGGCACTCCTAGAGTCAATCTAATTGTGTATGGTCCCCAAGTTGGAAATGAGTAAAGGTGTCTATGTACATATGGTATATGATGGTGAGATGTGGGAGGTGTCGGGTTGGAGTCAGCTTTGTGTGGAAATAATTTCCATGTAATAAGCACACACTGTACTGTTGAAGAATGTGCCTAAATACAGAAGTAGAATAAGAAGTGCTAGGATGCCATTCTAAATCCTTGAGATTGCCTTATCCTAAAATTGGAGAAACCATCAGAAGAAATATACATCTGTAGTAATGATGTGGCTAACCGTTATTAAACACATACACCATGCTAGACCCTAGTCTAGACTCTTCACTTGATTCTCACAGCTCAATAAGCCCGTAACTATTGTTACCCAGTTTGAGGAGTAAGATACTGAGGCAAATGTGGTTAAGAACTTTTAATGGTTACCCAGCCAATGGCAGGCAGCCTGACTCTGAGAGTCCAGCTCTTAACCACTACCTCCCAAGAATGTCTTTGTATGAGGAAGGGAAGAGATGTCTAGGAAAGGAGAAGGAAATATGGCTGACTCTCAGAGGGGCAGAGAAAGAGAATTACCGTCTGGAGTTCTTCATAGGATGTTAGTACAAAGAACTCCATGCCTCTTTCCATCCATGCAAGAGTGTCATCACGCCAAGATCATAATTTACTGTGGTCATAGGTAGAAAGGAGAACAAATGAAAAGGATTATTTTTTCATAGCCATATTCCAGGAATACTAATTGCCATTCCTTCGGGGGGGGGATTAGTTTTATTTTGTGGCAAAAGGAATAAAACCAAGTCCATCACTCCAGAAGTTGATGATTTATGCAATCATTTTAAGATGAACTTTTCCATGTGCCAAGAAACACTGGTACAACTCATTTTTGCCATTCAAATTTAAGATGTTTAAATGCTCCTAAATTTTAAGTATTCAGTTTTTTTAAAAAAATTTAATGTTTATTTTTGAGAGAAAGAGACATGCACACAGAGTGAAAGCGTCGATGAGCAGAGAGAGAGGGAGACACAGAATCTGAAGCAGGCTCCAGGCTCTGAGCTGTCAGCACAGAGCCCAACACGGGGCTTAAACCCCTGAATGGTGAAATCATGACCTGAGCCAAAGTTGGATGCTTAACCGACTGAGCCACCCAGGAGCCCCTGTGTCCAGTGAGTTTTGAAGTAGCTACCACCTAGGGACTTTAATACCCATCCTTCCACATGATACTGGTATCTTTGCCAGCGAGAGAATATGTGATGGGAATTTACTTTCTTACTTATTTGAGGGAGGGATTTACTTTTTTAATAGACTCATTCATAAAAGTGCTATAACAACTTGGTATGCATTTGGAAAAATTATATTTATTACACAATACCTAAGAATAGTGGATCAGTGATCTAAGTATACGAAAACTAACTGTACATGTATGAGAAGACAATATGAATAAATTCCTGTTTAGCTTCCTCTTGGAAGAAGACTTGGTTCAGTAGGATTCAAAATCTAGAGGTAACAAAGATTAAAACTGAAGTAAACCAGAATATGCCATCCCAAATTATACCAATTTGACATAAGGATTAATTTGAACTAAAGACAGTTAAGTATCAGATACAAAATTCTACCCTCCCCTATTTGCCTAAAAGCAGGAAATAAATGTTCAAAGGTGTCCCTCATCCCCTATCAGGGAGGGCAAAAGTTAACCATCAGAGTCAACGTTAGACCCTTATATCTGCCTAGAGGAATCTACATTTATCTACCTTTGTATCCTATATATTTACCTTCCTATAGTTTGTTGCCCTTGGATCACTAAAACCATTTTTTTCTCCTGTTATTCCTCTACAAATTTATTGTTCCTGATTGAAGATTCTACATAAACCTGAGTTTTAAGTACTCTCTTTCAGTCATTCATACCGGAACTTCTCCCATGTGTGTGGGAGATGTACATGTTATTATGTGTGTTATTTTTTCTTGTTAATCTGTCATTTATTACAGAACTTCAACCAAGAACTCAAGATGAATAGAGGAGAAAATTATCCTTCTCCAAGATCTCTTTTTGTAGTGTCCAATTGAAAAAGAAGGTAAAAATTGCCCCTTTCTTCCCAATTCAGATTGGCAGGGGAAAAAAGCATTTGGACTGTGACTTGTGTAAATTTGGTTTTGGATGCCCCTTAGTTGTGATCCCTTCCCGTCGTGGTACAGCTATTACTTTCTTGTTTGTCTCATTCAGTGAGTGGGGGCTTGGCTTGACTTCCAGCCTCCTGCAGCTGGGCCTACATCTGTAAGTGGCTAAACATCAGGTTGTTAGCCTGAGGAATGTGTCTGAACAAAAATGTGGTTGTACCATAGTTGCAGCTAACCTCCTACAATAATAGACAATTCCTAAAGGCAGCTTCTCTTTCTTTTGGGTGCTTTTAGAGACCGCTTTAGATCTTGAGAGAGCCCCACCCCTTTTTTTTCTGCCTCTTGGAACCATGGTTAAGCCATACAAGACTTACTGGTTTTCACTAACTTGGAATAGGTATACATTTGATTTTTTTTAAAGAAAGAAAATAAGGAAAAAGTGAGAAACTCAAATAATGGAAACACAAAGCATTATTTGAGACTACTTTGGACAGTTACACACAACAATTTGGATAACCTAGAAAAACTGGATAAATTCTCAGAAGCGTACAATCTACCAAGACTAAATTATGAAGAAAAAGGAAAATACAAACAGACCAGTAACAATTAATGAGATTAAGACAACAATCTAAAACCTTCTAACAAAGAAAAGCCCAGGACAAGAAACATTCATGGGTGAATTTTACCAGATGAATACTTCTAAACTCCTTTTACAAGGCAAGTATTACCCTCATACCAAAGCCAGATAAACATATTGCAAGAAAAGAAAATTCGAGGGGTGCCTCAGTGACTCAGTCGGTTAAGCATCCAACTTCGGCTCAGGTCTTGATCTCATGGTTCATGAGTTTGAACCCCACATTGGGCTCTGTGCTGACAGCTCAGAGCCTGGAGCCTGCTTCAGATTCTGTGTCTCCCTCTCTCTCTGCCCCTCCCCCACATGCACTCTGTCTCTCTCTGCCTCTCAAAAATAAAACTAATAAAAAAATTAAAAAACCTACATGACAATATTCCTGATAAACATAGACACACCAAATTCAACAGCATATTAAAAGGATCATATATCATAATAAAGTGGGATTCATCCCTGGGATGCAAGGATGGTTCAATATAGTATGTAAATCAATAAACGTGATATACCACATTAATAGAATGGAAGATAAAATCATAACCATTTTAATAAATACAGAAAAAAACTTGACAAAATATAACTTCCTTTCATGATAAAAAAATAGATTGGATATAGAAGAAATGTGCTTGGTCATACTAAAGGCCACATTTGACAGACCCACAGCTGTCATACTTAATGATCAATAGCTGGAAGCTTTTCCTCTAAGATCAGGAAAAAACAAGGATTTCCGCCCTCACCATTTTTATTCAACATAGTACTATAAGTCCTAGCCAGAGGAATTAGGCAAGAAGAAGTATCATTTTCTGTTTGCAGATAATATGATCTTATATATAAAAATTCCTAGAGTCTACCAAAAAAAAAAACCCCAACCAATGAATTCAGTAATGTTGCAGGATACCAAAGTCAACCTACCAAACATAGTTGTATTTCTATACATTAACAACAAAATGTCTGAAAAAGAAAAACAACCCATTTCCAACAGTAAAAATATTAAAATATTATGGTACTGGCATAAAAAGAGACACATACACCAATGGCACAAAATAGAAAGTCCAGAAATAAACCCAAGCATATAGAGTCAACTAATTTTCAACAAGGGAGCCAAGAATCTCAATGGGGAAAAGATAGTCTCTGGACACTTATTTTAAATCACTCAAAATGCATTAAAGACTTAAGACTTGAAACCATGAAACTCCTAGAAGGAAACATAGGGAAACATCTCCTTGATACTGGTCTTAGCAGAGTTTTTTCTTTTCCCACAAACAAGCAGCAAAGGCAAAAATAAGGACTTCACCAAACTAAGAAGTTTGTGCACAACAACAGATACAACCAACAAAATGAAAAGAAAACCTACATAATGGAAGAAAACATTCATAAATCATGTATCTGATCAGGGGTTAATATCCAAAATATATAAAGAACTCACACAACTGAACAACCAACCGGATATAAAACTGGGCAGAGGAACTGAATAGACTTCTTTTCAAAGAAGATCTATAAACAGCCAACAGATTTATAAAAAAGTGCTCAACAATTCTTATCACCAGGGAAATGCAAATCCAAACCACAGGAAAGATCTTACCTCACACTTGCTAGAATGGTTACCACCAAAAAGACAAGAGATAACGAATGTTGGCATTATGCAAAATTGGTGGGAATGTAAATTGATAGAACCACTATAGAAGTTGGTATAGAGGCTCCTTAAAAAACAAAACCAAAAACCAAAACAAAACCAAAAACCAAAAAAATCCACCATACAATCCAGCAATCCTACTTCTGGGTATATAGCCATCGAAAAGAAAAACAGGCTCTTGAAGAGCTATATGCATCCCCCTATTTACTGCAGCATTATTCACAGCAGGCAAGATATGGAAACAACCTAAGGGTCAACAATGAATGGATAAGGATGCGCTGTGTGTGCTCTATATTTGAATATGTATGTGTGTGTGTATAAATATGCACATATGTACATATATAAAATATTCAGCCCTGTTAAAGAAGTACATTCTGCTATTTGCGCCAAATTGGATGAAACCTGAGAGTATATGCTAAGTGAAATAAATTAGAGAAAGGCAAATACTGTGGGATATCACTTATATGGGGAATATAAAAAATCCAAACTCAGAGTAAAGTGGTTAACAGGGGCTGGGGAGTGAAGGAAATGGAGAGATCTTGGTCAAAGGGTACAAACTTTCATTTATAAGATTAATGAGTTCTAGGGATCTAATATATAGCATGGTGAGTATAGCTAATAATGTATTTTATATACTCTAAGTCGCTAGGAGAATAGATTGTAGATGTTCTCACCATAAAAAAAGAAACAGTTGGGGCGCCTGGGTGGCTCAGTCAGTTAAGAAACTAACTCTTGATTTTGGCTCAGGTTGTGTCTCATGGTCTTGAGAGCCATCAGGCTCTCACTGGGTGTGCAGCCTGCTTAATATTCTCTCCCTCTGTCCCTCCCTGGCTCATGCTCTCTTTCTCTAGAAAAAAAAAAAAAAACCCACCAAAAAACAGTAATTATGTGATGGGATGGAGGTATTAGTCCTTGCTATGGTGGTAATCATTTTGCAAATTATCAAGTCAACATGGTGTACACCTTAAACTTACATTATGTTCATATTTCAATAAAACTGGAAAACATGTTCATACTACCCAAAGGGATTGCACTGAATCTGTAGATTGCTATCAAATTCCAAAGACATGTTTCAGAAATAGAAAAAACAATCCTAAAATTCATATGGAACTGCCAAAGACTCTTAATAGACAAAGCAATCTTAAGAAAGAACGAAATTGAAGGGAGCATACTTTCTGACTACAAATTACATTGCAAAGCTACAGTAATGAAAACAGTGTGGTACTGGTATAAGAGCAGACACATACACCAACGGAACTGATGAAGAACCCTGAAATAAACCCATGCATATGTCAGCTCATCTGTAACATGGGCACCAAGAATACACAAATGATGAAAAGATAGTATCTTCAATAAATGGTGTTGGAAAAACTGAATATCTACATGCTCAAGAATGAAATTGGATCCTTATCTACACCAGTCACAAAAATTGACTTAGATTAGAGATTTAAATGTAAGACTAAAAACTATAAAACTCTTAGAAGAAAACCTAGGGGAAAAGCTTATTGGTAGTTTTCTTGGCAATTTTAGTGTATGTGCTGAAGTGAGCACAGGCAGTGGTCTCGGCAATAATTTTTGGATGTGACAACAAAAGCACAGGAAGAAAAGGTAAAAATAATCAACAAAATGAAAACATAATCTATAGGAGAAAATATTTACAAACCATATATTTCATAGTGGGTAAATATTGAAAATATATAAGGCACTCCTATAATTCAGTAGCAAAAAAAAAAATGGCAAAGGATCAGATGAGCTCTTTTTAATTTTTTAAATGTTTATCTAAGAGAGAGTGAGCACATGAGAGTGCATGAGTGCAGGGGGAGGGGCAGAGAGGGAGAGAGAGCTCCCAAGCAGGCTCCATGCTGTCAGCACTGAGCCCAATCCCACGAACTGTGAGATCATGACCTGAGCTGAAATCAAGAGTTGGTTGCTTAACTTACTGAGCCACCCAGGGGCCCCAGACAATTTTTTAAAGTAAACATACAAATGGCCAACAAGTATGTGAGAGGTACTTAACATCATGAGTCATTGTATTTATATACCACATCTTCTTTATCCATCCATCAATGGACATTTGTGCTCTTTCCATACTTTGGCTATTGTTGATAGTGCTGCTATGAACATTGGGGTGCCTGCGCCCCTTTGAATCAGCATTTTTGCATCCTTTGGATAAATTCCTAGTAGTACAATTACTGGGTCATAGGGTAGTTCTATTTTTAATTTTTTGAGGAACCTCCATACTGTTTTCCAGAGTGGCTGCACCAGTTTGCATTCCCATCGGTGGTGCAAAAGTGTTCCCCTTTTTCCACATCCTTGCCAAAACCTGTTGTTTCCTGAGTTAATTTTAGCCACTATGACTGATGTGAGGTGGTAGCTCACTGTGGTTTGTTTGTGATTTGTTTTTCCCTGATGATGAGTGACGTTGAACATCTTTTCGTGTGTCTGTTGGCCATCTGGATGTCTTCTTTGGAAAAGTGTCTATTCATGTCTTCTGCGCATTTCTCCACAGAGTTATTTGTTTTTTGTGTATTGAGTTTGGCAAGTTCTTTATAGATTTTGGATACTAATCCTTTATCTGACATGTCATTTGCAAATATCTTCTCCCATTCTGTCGGTTGCCTTTTAGTTTTGTTGATTGTTTCCTTTGCAGTGCAGAAGCTTTTTATCTTGATGAGGTCCCAACAGTTCATTTTTGTTTTTATTTCTATTGGCTTTGGAGATGTGTCAAACAAGAAATTGCTGTGGCTGAGGAAGTCATATATGAAAAAGCCACAGCTAATATCATCCTCATTGGGGAAAAACTGAGAGTTTTCCTCCTGAGATCAGGAACACAGCAGGGATGTCCACTCTTACCATTGTTGTTTAACATAGTGTTGGAAGTCCTAGCCTCAGCAATCAGACAACACAAAGGAATAAAAGGCATCCAAATTGGCAAGGTGGAAGTCAAACTTTCCCTCTTTGCAGAGGACATGATGCTCTATATGGAAAACCGAAAAGATTCCACCAAAAAGCTTCTAGAACTGATCCATGAATTCAGCAAAGTCACAGGATACACATTCAATGCACAGAAATCAGTTGCATTTCTATACACCAATAATGAAGCAACAGAAAGAAAAATCAAGAAATCATTCCCATTTATAATTGCACCAAGAATCATAAATACCTAGGAATAAACCTAACCAAAGTTGTAAAAGATCTGTATTCTGAAAACTATAGAAAACTTATGAAGGAAATTGAAGACCCAAAGAAGTGGAAAAACACCCCACACTCATGGTTTGGAAGAACAAATATTGTTAGAAGGTTGATACTACCCAAAGCAATCTACACATTCAATGCATTCCCAAGCAAAATTGCACTGGAATTCTTCTTGAAGCTAGAACAAACAATCCTAAAATTTGTATGGAACCACAAAAGACCCTGAATAGCCAAAGTTATGTTGAAAAAGAAAACCAAAGTGGGAGGCATCACAATCCCAGACTTTAGCCTCTACTACAAAGCTGTAATCATCAACACAGTATGGTACTGGCACAAGAACAGACACATAGACTAATGGAACAGAATAGAGAAACCAGTATTTGACCCACAAATGTATGGCCAATTAATCTTTGACAAAGCAGGAAAGAGTATCCAATGGAGAAAAGACAGTCTCTTTGGTAAATGGTGCTGGGAGAACTGGACAGCAACATGCAGAAGAACGAAACTAGACCACTTTCTTACACCACACACGAAAAGAAACTCAAAATGGATGAAAGACCTAAATGTGATACAGGAAACCATCAAAACCCTAGAGGAGAAAATAAAGGTTTGCCTTTTGACTGGGAGCTAGTACCCTGGATGGAATGGTAATAGGACCAAGAAACTTGATGTCTGCTCTTTCTTTTCTTTTATACAGCTGTTTTTCTTGAGCATAGGACAGCCACCTAAGTCACTAGGATGGCTGTCAATCTTAAGACTCTCATGTAAGGTTTCCTCCCCATTGGTCTAATGTGATCCCCTCCACATCTCTGGTCTAAGCTACATCTGGCTGTGAGACCTCTGCTCAGAGCCAGCTGACACCAGTACTGGATTGAGTTAAAACCCAACCAGGGATGGTTTCCTGGGGAACTCAGCTGCAAAAGACTACATGTATTGGAATGTCACTTAGGCCATGCTGGATTTCCATCTTTACTATTCTTCATAAGTGTCCTCTACAGACTACGTAAATTGTAACGTTAGGTATCTCTCCCTGAAAATTCTTGGCATCTCCATGGCTTAAAACAGCAGGTGCATCTACCAGAACCTACAATAGGGAAGTGAAGGAGCATTGATATCCCTTCAGTAAACAAACCAGTTCTTCTGGCTTTTTGAGGGATGCCTCTGTTGCTTGGAACACTGGGAACAGTTGACATTAACCTGAGTGGGATGCCACCCAGGAGTTGGGGGGTATTATGGTAATGGACTTGCCCACTTTTTTTTTTTAATTTTTTTTTCAACGTTTTTATTTATTTTTGGGACAGAGAGAGACAGAGCATGAACGGGGGAGGGGCAGAGAGAGAGGGAGACACAGAATCGGAAACAGGCTCCAGGCTCTGAGCCATCAGCCCAGAGCCTGACGCGGGGATCGAACTCACGCACCGCGAGATGGTGACCTGGCTGAAGTCGGACGCTTAACTGACTGCGCCACCCAGGCGCCCCTGGACTTGCCCACTTTTATAGAAACATGGGATTTTACTCTTCAGTCCCCAAAGATCCCCCTCAGCCCCCCAGGTATCTCTTAACCCATTGAAACCAATTAGGGTTGTAAGATTTAAAGAAGGCTCAAATGTCCATCAACTGATGAATGGATAAAGAAATTGTGGTTTATATACACAATGGAGTACTACGTGGCAATGAGAAAATGAAATATGGCCCTTTGTAGCAACATGGATGGAACTGGAGAGTGTTATGCTAAGTAAAATAAGCCATACAGAGAAAGACAGATATCATATGGTTTCACTCTTATGTGGATCCTGAGAAACTTAACAGAAACCCATGGGGGAGGGGAAGGAAAAAAAAAAGAGGTTAGAGTGGGAGAGAGCCAAAGCATAGGAGACTCTTAAAAACTGTGGGGCGCCTGGGTGGCGCAGTCGGTTAAGCGTCCGACTTCAGCCAGGTCACGATCTCACGGTCCGTGAGTTCGAGCCCGCGTCAGGCTCTGGGCTGATGGCTCAGAGCCTGGAGCCTGTTTCCGATTCTGAGTCTCCCTCTCTCTCTGCCCCTCTCCCGTTCATGCTCTGTCTCTCTCTGTCCCAAAAATAAATAAACGTTGAAAAAAAAAAACTTTAAAAAAATAAAAAAACTGAGAACGAACTGAGGGCTGATGGGGGGGTGGGGGGGATGGGTATTGAGGAGGGCACCTTTTGGGATGAGCACTGGGTGTTGTATGGAAACCAATTTGACAGTATACTTCATATATTGAAAAAAAAAAAGAAGGCTCATCTTCTGCAATAATGCATAGCCTCAGAATTCCCTAGATAAGGAAAAATGGCCCATTAATGGGACAATAAATGTTATTACTATATACCAATGAGATCTTCTAAGGGCTAAGGGCTTCTTGCAGAATGTATTTGGCTACAAACCAGGTTAATAACCCCTCTCTCAACATATTGGATGATTGTCCAAAGAGGCACCTTTCTCTTAACAAACATGGACCACAGAGGAACCACTGGCCAGTTTCAACAAAGGGGACATTGATTCTGTTACTGTCCCTCCTCCTTACAAGCCCCAAGACCCCTTTGTTCCTGCTGGGCTGGACATGCCAGATGCAGGGCTCCCTATCTTCTGGGAGTTCTACCTAAATCTGGATTCCATCCTCTTAGGGGGGTTGTTAGTAGAGAGATGGGCACTATCAGAGTCAACGTTGGGTTCTCCATGGCAGTCTTGGCTCAGATAAAATAATTAGGACAATATGCCAAAAACACTTCTCAATTTATTGAGGGTTTTCAATAATTATCCATTATGTTTGATTTGATCAGGCAAGATAGATCCATTATATAAACTTGTTGTTGCACCCTTGAGGAAAAGAACCATATCTACACAAGGGCTCAAGAATTTGCTGACAGACTAGCAGCCAAAGATAGAGATCTCTATGTGGTAGGGGTCACTGCTGTTCCAAATACCAAACCATGTTCAAATTATCCAGAAGATAGGAAGGTAAAGACAAGACCATATAATCACTAGTTTTATAGAAGGAATGAAAAAAGAAGACTAAACCTGTCAACTTTGATAAAATTCAGAAAGTTACTCTATGAGCTGATGAGAATCCAGCTCTATCTCATGGTCACTTGATATAAGCCATATGTAAATATACAAATCTGGACCCAACTTTGATATAGTTGGGTTAGAACTATATATCAAACATACATTTTATAAGTGAATTGGCATGTGACACCTGTCAAAAATGGACTAAAATGGCTTTAGGCCCTCAAACCCCCCACCTAGCACCTACCAGAGATAGCTACTGGGGTTTTTTAATAATAGAGATATGGCTTTAAGACATGAAAAGGACTGGAGACCTAAATTGCAGGGTAAAATACAGCCTTATATATTAGCTGACCCTATTGAGGATTCCCCACAATGCCAGACTAACCATAGGCCAAAGAAAAAGGCATCATCAAATAAAGGACCAGGTAAGACCCCATACTATAGGTGTGGTCATATTGGACATCGGAGCAAGCAACGTCCAAACGAAGTCTTTCCACCAGGGCCATATCCTGCCTGTAAGGAAGAAGGACATTGGAAGAAAGACTGTTCCCACTCCAGAGACAGGAAGACAGGAACTCACTTCCCCACCTGAGAGCAGGAACCTGAGCATCTGGCATGAGGGGGCTTCTGAGGCTGGTTGGGCTGCCTGTGACATCAAGATGACTGAGCCCTGATTACTTTGGATGTGGAAGGTAAGTTTATCAATTTCCTTATTGATACAGGGTCTGCTTAGACTATTCTTATTCAGCACTCTGGTCCTACCAGAATTTCTAACCATAAAATTCCTGGTATTGAGAGGCAAACTCAAAGACGCCTTCAGGGAATGGCTTTAATTTGCAAATACAAAAGTCAGCTAGTAAACTCATGTTTTTCTAGTCCTTCTGTCACTCCATTACTTGGATGAGACTTCATATATAAACTAGGGAGCAGATTTGCTTGAGGAAGATGGCTTGTTCTCTTTAACATCTAGAGAATTAAAACCTTACCCTGATAACTCTTCTAATACCTGGAAGGAAACAAATCCACAGCTCTGGGAATGTGATGTTCCAGGATAGGCTCTTAAAGCCCAACCAGTTAAAGTGACCTTAAAAGACCCAACCACCATACTTCATAAAAAATATCCCTTAAACCCTGAGGCAAGAGTTGGACTACGAAGCTCATTGGTAAGTTTCTCAAACACGGTATGTTAAGGCCTTGTGACTATCCTTTTAACATTCAAATTTTACCAGTAAAGAAGGCAAATGGAGAATATTGAATGGTACAAGACTTAAGAGCAATAAATGAAATAGATCTATCCATTGCATTGTGCCAAATCCATATACTATTCTTATTCAGTCCCTGGTGATGCCAATTGATTTAAAGGATGCTGTCTATTCTAGCCCTCTAAGTGAAGAAACACAGCATTATTTGCTTTTGAATGGGCCTAGCCTTTAAACCCACAGGCTGCTCAATTAACGTGGGTGGTCTTGTTGCAGGGATTTAGCAGAGTCCTCACCCATTCAGGGCTGCACTTAGCAGAGACATACATGATATATCCTTGCCTCAAGGGACTATAGGATGATCTTTTAATCTGTAGTCCCACAAAAGAAACATCTGATAGTAATTTTGTAACTTTAATTTCTTGGCAGGCAGGGGGTATCCTGTCTTTCCCAAAAAGGCACAAATATCTAAACAAAAAGTCCAGTATCTGGGATATGAACTAACTTCAGGTCATTGTACCCTGTCTACTGACAGAAAAAAAGCTTTATTAGATCTTGGATCCCCAACTCCAAAAAACAACTCTGTACTTCCCTAGGTATGGTGGGTTTTTGCCACTAATGGATTCCTGGATTTGGACTGTTGGCCCGAACATTGCAGGACTCAGTTCAAGGCCCTAATGAAAAACTTTTACTCTGGCCTAAGCCCAGAAGAAGGCCTTTCAAACATTAAAAGCTAAGCTTTCATCAACCCCAGCTTTGGCTTTACCAAATTTAGAAAGACCTTTCACTTTATAGGTGAGAGAAAAACAGGGACAGGATTTTCTTACCCAGAAATTAGAAAATGAAATAAGACAGTGGGCTAGCTTTCAAAGCCACTTGATAATGTAGAACAAGGGTGGCTGGTCTGTCTCTGATCAGTGGTGGAAACAGTCCTCCTTGTAGAAAAAGCTCCAAGATTTAATATGGACAGTCCTTAACAGTGATGACTCTAAATCAGGTCCAAAGTGTCTGAGAGAGCAAAGGCCACCAATGGATGACTGGAGGCTGGCTTACTTAATACAAGGCTATGCCTTTAGACATACCTGAAATAATACTTACAACTGGTCAGACTTTAAACCCAGCTACCCTTATGCCTGGGCCCGACCATCATACTTCTATGCTAGAACATGACTGCTCAGAGATTATCGATCTTATTTATTCCAGCAGACCAGATTTAAGAGATTCCCTTGTTGAAAATGCAAATAATTGGCTTATAGATGGCAGTAACTTCATGGATAAGGGAGAAAGAAAAGCTGGATATGCTATAGTTAGCTTAACTAACACCATTGAGGCAAAATCCTTTCCAACACATACTTCTGCCCAAAAAGCTAAATTAATAGCACTTACCTGTGCTCTTCCAGTGGCAAAAGGTGTAATAATATCTGGGTGTTGTATGGAAGTGATGAATCACTGGATTCTACTTTTGAAACCAATATTGCATTGTATATTAGTGAATTAAAATTTAAATTAAAAATAAAAACAAAAGAAGTGATAAGGGATTGACATGGTGTTTCTAAAATCAAATTAGAGTCAAGATGGTGGAACAGCATGGATGTTCTCAGCTTCTCTCCTTCCTGAAATGCAGCTAGATCAGCACCAAACCAAGTTGCACATCTAGGAAATTGATCTGAGGCTTAACCCAACAATCTGCATAACTTGAGCTACAGAACTCAGCAGGTGTGCAGCACAGAGGTGAATTGGGGGAGACAGAAGCTGTGGAGGATAGGGAGCTGTTTTTGTGGAAAGAAGACAGAGAAAGGGGAAGATTACAAGAAAATCACTCTCACTGAAAGTAGCTGGAGAGAAAGAGAAAGAGTGGAAACACTAACAAGGGACTGAACAAGAAATCTGTTTCCCAAAACCATTGATGGGGAGAAAGGAGAGGGTTTCTTTTTTTTTTTTAAACGTTTATTTTTGAGACAGAGAGAGACAGAGCATGAATGGGGGAGGGTCACAGAGAGAGGGAGACACAGAATCTGAAACAGGATCCAGGCTCTGAGCTGTCAGCACAGAGCCCGATGTGGGGCTCAAACTCACGGACTTCAAGATCATGACCTGAGCCGAAGTCGGATGCTTAACCGACCAAGCCACCCAGGCGCCCCAAGGAGAGGGTTTCAATACCATTAGGACTCTGTAAATGGGGGAGCCCAGAGTTGTAAATTCCAGAGCTTCATACCTGGTGGTACTCTGGTGGGGAGGAAGGGCATGGAGCAAGTTCCCAGGAGTCTGTGGGTTACATGGGGAGAAGCCATTCTTCTGCTAGGAGGGCATTTGGTAAAGGCCATATGGCCTCCACACAAGCAAAAGTCCCAGTGGACCCTGGAGAACAGCCATGTTTTCTGGTATTGGAGCAAAGAAGCCAGGGTGCATTGAAACCTGGCGCCAATTGTGTGTTATGATTTGCTATAATCTCTGAACCACTGCCACTGCTTGATTGAACAACCTTTTTTCTGGGGCAAGCAGGCAACTGGCCCCAATCTCTGAACCTTTGCCACAGGGTGATCACAGGAACATTCCCGGGGGCAAGCTGGCACCTGGCGATTGCTTCAGAGACCCTCCCCCAGAGGGTCAGAGCAGGTCCAAACCACCGTGTTCTCAAAAGTGAGGGGTTTGGAAACACAGCCCCGTCTGAGATAAAGTTCAGGAGGCAGGTGCCGCCTGGCAGGCTGACGGCTTGGATGCAAACAGCGTAGAAGTGGAGAATGGACAGAAGCCAGAGACAAAGGAGGGGTGCTTGATTGCAGGCTGGTGAGAGTGCAGAGGTCCTGTGCCAGAGGCTGGGAAGCTGGGTGAAGTCATTTTCACCTCTCCCACACATGAGCATACACATACACATGCACCACACTGATCCACTCCAGTAAGCTAAGAAGTGCCACCTAGTGGAGAATGAAGCCATGACAACTGTGCCCACCAAGCACATGCCCTATAAGACCACCACAAATTCCTCCACCTGCTTTGTGTACAGATTATAAAGTGCTTCATAGTTTAAGTTCTAGGGAAAACTGGATGTAATTTCATTCGGGTTTCATTCTGTTTGCTGGTCTTTTTTTTTTTCTTTTTTGCTTTTGTTGAAATTGTTTTTTTCTTCTTGGGCACAAAAATAGAAAAATTTTGTTTCATTTTCTGAAAACATTTTTTTCTTTAGTTCTTTTTACCATGTTTTTTTGTAAATTTCTAAATTCTATTTCATTTCATTTTATTCTATTTTATTCTATTTTTTTAATTTAAGGTTTTTCTTATTTTTTCCTTTTCTGCGGCCCCCCCCCCGTCTCTATCCTATCAAGCTTCTTTCAACAACCAGATGAAAACCCACCTAGGATCCAGCTTCATTTGATTTTTTGTGTTGATTTTAGTTAATTTTAATTTTATTATATTCTTATTCTTCCTCCAAAATGACAAAACAAAGGAAATCACCCCAAAAGAAAGAACAGGAAGAAATGACAGCCGGGGCTTAATCAACACAGATATAAGCAAGATGTCTGAATGAGAATTTAGAATCACAACAATAAGAATACTAGCTGGCATTGAAAAAAGCATTGACTCCCTTTCTGCAGAGATGAAGAAGTAAAATATAGTCAGGAGGAAATAAAAAATGTTATAACCAAGATGCAATCTCGAATGGATGCTATGGTTGGCAAGGATGGACCAAGCAGAGTAGCGAATCAGTGATATAGAAGACAAAATTATGGAGACTAATCAGAAAAAAAAGGGAAACTAAGGCAAGAGAGCACGATACAAGACTTAGAGAACTCAGTGACTTACTAAAAAGGAATAACATCTGAATCATAGGAGTCCCAGAAGATAAAGAGAGAAAAAGGGTAGAAGGTTTATGTGAGCAAATTATAGTGGAAAACTTTCCTAACCTGGGGAAAGACAAAGACATCAAAATCCAAGATTCGCAGAGAACTCCCATTAGATTCTACAAAAACCAACCACTGACAAGGCATATCCTAGTCAAATTCACAAATACACAGGTAAGGAAAGAATTATGAAAGTAGCAAGGGAAAAAAGTCCTTAACCTATAAGGGAAGACAGATAAGGTTTGCAGCAGACCTATCCACAGAAACTTGGCAGACCAGAAAGGAGTGGCAGGATATATTCAACATGCTGAATTGGAAAAATCTGCAGTCAAGAAATTTTTATCCAGCAAAGCTGTCATTCAAAATAGAAGGAGAGATAAAGAGTTTCCCAGACAAACAAAAACTA